AGCCTGAGTTCGCCGAGTGCACTCGGCGTCTCGCCGAAGGTTCTCCTTGATCACCCTTTGTCTGCGCCCCTGATCCTTAAATGCACTGTAACTTTCGACGGGCTAAGCCATGCTCACCGAATAATGTCGACGATTGGCCGAAAGGCCTTTCCCATCGCCGACAGGACAAAATTTTCTTGGATTTTTGAGCCATTCCTTTCGGTGAGCCTGATCTAGCTCGCGAAAGAGATTCGGTGACTCACCGACTAGTTTGACGAGTTTTTCTGTAACTATTTTGTTGTGCATCTGATTGAATTGTTTCTAACTCTTTTTGATGTTTTTGCAGACATGGCTAGACCAAAAGTTGTTGGTAGAAACATGCCGCCCCATAAGAGGGCCAAAGGGATAACTATCAATGAGGATGGAGCTGTATCCAGGAGAAAGGCCACCAAACTTCCCATGACTGGTGGGAAAGGAAAGGTCAAAGGAAAGGCACCTGCATCAACGGAGGCCAGCTCCGACAGTGATGGTATCTACGCTGCTCATCTCACCACTTCTGAGAGTGAGGGTGAGAACCAGGAGCATTAGGCTGCCACATCTGAGCATGAGGATGAGCTAGTAGCAGCAAAGAGGGCAGAGTTGTGTTCCAAAAAAATGAATGATCTGTCTAGGATCAGGACTCCTCAGGCCACCACTACTCCTTCTCCAGCTCCAACACAGGCCGTGGTCTTAGCACCACTAGTATAGGGTCTTCCTCTCAAGTCTATGAACAGACTAAAGACCGAGGGGTTGGGGACCATTATTGAGGAGAAGTGTCTGTCCATTGATGGAGTTATTGACAGGTACCCGGAGATAATGAGTTGCCTAAAGTCATACAACTTCCAACTCTTCACCATACCCCGTGGTCCTTACATTCCTAATTAGGTTCGGGAGTTCTATGCTACCTATGGAGCCTTGGTACCATAGAGAAAGAAAGCAGGCAACTGCATTTAAGCCGGTTGACTACGTAGTTGTCCAGGGAAAGAAGGTCAAGTGTGACAGTGAGGCTAATAATGTTGTCTTGATAATATCGCTGAGGAGTGACAGTATCTGATAAGGACAAAGACACTAGAAAATATGAAGAAGTGGTTGGCCTCGCTAATATCAGATGACACTCCCAAGTGGATGGAGATTGGAGCACATATTTAGAAGAAGGATCTAAACATAACTGCAAGGTTCTGGTTTGGCTTCATTAGTAGCACTGTCATGCCATCCTAGAACGAGTCGATTCTCTGCCTAGCCAAGGCAGCCTATTTAGGTTGCATTATTGATGAGACAAGGATAAATCTAGGGATAACTATGGCACAGGTGTAACGACCCGAGAGCACCCCCTAGTCGTTACCGACGTATTCGACCTCGAACAGGTCTTATACAAGCCCTTACCATTCCTCATAACATGTATCATAGAATAAAATCATGGAAAATTTAAAACTTTTACTTTGAAAGTTCAACTTCACTTCATATATGAAAAATAGAATCTAACTTCGTCACAATGCACCATCTAGACATAGAAGTATCGAAAATGGGACTTAGCCCTTACATCAATAAGAAGTCTTGAAAATAGGAAGTACAACAATATCTTTCAACATAAGCAAAGAACTAAACATAGAAGCTAGATCATAGGGTCTTGTCCTCAGACTTGAGGACTCACCAACTTGGGGAAGCAACTCCAAGTGTCTTGAGAAGTAAGCTTGAATCCTCAACGGCCCGAACCTAAATGTTTGGGAAAAGGGAGAAAATATGGGTTAGTACAACACACGTACTAAGTATGGCTACTATGCATAAAAACCATTGAAACATGCATAAAAGGACATTT